GACTGATTTATCTTTTTCCATTCTTTGTATATTTACTTGTTTTTCTTGTTTAATTCTATAGTTTACATCAAGTAAACTGTTGAATAAAAGTGGTGATAGTGAGTTTCCTTTTCTTTTTCCCAGGAAGGCTTTAGAGATTTCATCATCAAAGGTATTTACTGTACGAGTTTTGTAGATACCTCTTTTCAGATAGACTGTATTATTTTCTTTATTTGCTGAGAATTTTTAGCATCAGTAAGTATTTTCATATGAAGGGATATTAAATTTTACCAAATGCTTTTTGGCATCAATTGAAATTATTAAAGGATTTCTCTTTTGTTTTGTTATTGTGGTAGGTTACAAAGATTGGGTTTTCAAATGTTAAATGAATTTTATGTTCCCTGGAAGAAACTCATCTTGGTCATTATGTAACATGTATATCTGTATGAATTCAATTTGTTAATATTTTATTTATAATATTTGCACCTATGTTTATGAGTAAATCTATAATTTCCTTGTTTTTATAATTTACTGTTAGGTTTTGATACCAATGTTATGGTCATTACGTAAAATGAGTTGGAAAGTATTCTCTCACTTATCTGGAAGAATTTAGGATACTTTTTTTTTTTTTTTACATGTTTGATAGAATTTGCTAATGATGCCCCTTGGGACTGGAGTTTGCTCTGTGAGAATTTTTTTTTTTAGTTATAGATGGAATTTCTTTAATAGTATAGTATTATTCACATATTCTGGGTATTTTTTTGGTTCCCTTTTTGTAAGGGATTTGTTAGCTTCATCTAAATATTCAAACATATTGACATAAAATAGTTCATTCTCTTATTATCCTTTTAATGTCTTTAAGCATCTTTTTATCTTCTTTTTCATGCCTGTCTTTGGAACTTCTACCTTTTTTTGTATTACATTTTGCAAAAGGGTTTAATATAAACTTCAAAGAAAAAGTATTTTGCCTTGTTGAATTATCTTTATTTGTTTTCTATTTCTTTGATTTCTGATCTTATCTGTATTATTTCCTTCTTTTTTCCTTTAGATTTGTTAATTTTCTTTTAGCTTCTTTAGTTGGATGCATAAACAGTTAACTGACAGCATTTCTTTTTATTCATAAACATTTAAGTCTTAGATTTCCTCTAAGCACGACTTTAACTGAGTTCCATGACTTTAAATGATATGTTTTCATTAGCACTTAGTTCAGAATTTTTCTAGTTTCATTCTGATTTCTTATTTGTCCAAGAGTTGTTTAGAAGTATGAAATTTCCATGCATTTGTGGATTCACTAGTTACCTCTCTGTTATTCATTTCTAGCTTAGTTTCTTTGCAGTTAGAGAACATACTCTCTATGATTATAATCTTTAATATTTGATTAGTCTTGATTTATGATTTATTTGAATAATTGTTACATGTGTATTTGAAAATTATGTGTATTCTACAGTTGTTGGATTGTATTTTATATAATGATTAGGTCAATTTTGTTAAATGTGTCATTCAAATATTAAATAGCCTTACTGACTCTTTTCTACTTGTTTATCAACTATTAAAAAGATTTGTCTGTTTTTGCCCCTAATACTTCAAATATTAGCTTTGTATATTTTGAAGTTATATTATTAGGCAAACAACTTCATTTTTATTTTATATTTAAATTAAATTTTAAGAACATTTAACATGAGATCTATCCTCTTAAATTTTTAAATGTAAAACATATAATTGACGACCATATGTGCAGCAGATCTCTAGAGCATATTCATCTTGCTTGACTGACTTTATGCTCATTCAGTAACTTTCCACTTCCTCCTTCCTTCAGCCCCTGTCAACCACCACTTCACGCTTTGCTTCTGTGAATTTTTAGATTCTTCTTGTAAGAGAGATCATGCAGTTTTTGTCATTCTGTGGTGAGCTTATATATATATATATATATCACTGTATGTATGTATATGCCACATTTTCTTTTTTCATTCATCAGTGAATGGACAAATAGTTTGTTTCCACATTTGGCTATTATGAATAGTGCTGTGTGGAACTTTAGTATGCTAACATGTCTTCAAGACCCCAATTTTATTTTTTTTTTTGTATAATTTTTCAGAAGAGGGATTGTTGGATCATGTTATAATTGTTTTTAAAATTTTGAGGAACTTCTATACTGTCTTCCATAGTAGCAGCACCATTTTGCATTCCCACCAACAATGTACAGAGCTCCAACTTCTTCATATCCTTGTCAACACTTGTCTTTTGTTTTTCTGATAATAGTCATCCTGACAGGGGTGAGGTGTTATCTCATTTTGGTTTGAATTTGCATTTCTCTAATGATTTGTAACATTCAGCATTTTTTTCATATGCCTGTTGATCATTTATATATTTTTTGAGAAATGTCTATTCATGTCCTTGGCCCATTTTATCGGTTATTAGTTTCTTTGCTATTGAGTTGTAGTATATACTACATATATGGTTTGAAAATATGTTCTCCCATCTTGTGTGCTGCATTTTCACTCTATTGATTCCTTTGCTATAGAATTTTGCAGCTGAAATTACTTGAAAATAATCTCAAAATGAATCTCTTCTTTCTACCTGAATCTCTAAGTGATTATGCCTTTGAAATAATCTCTCTTCCTCTGTATTTTACATTTCTTTCTAATTACCCTCTCTTCCCTATTCTGCTTCACATCTCTGGGGAAAGATTACACAGGAGATATTAGTGAACTAGACTTGTGTCTAGATGGTCAAGTATAGTTCAGAACCATGGAGAGCAGCCTATATGGTTTCAAGTTTTAACAGTTAAGATATTATTATAGGATTGTTGGCCTTGTTCTATACCAATTCGGGCAGTACTATGAACATCTCCGTAGCTCTTGATACATGTCACTAAATTGGTTTCCATAAGTGGGACGTTAATTTATAGAGCTGCCAAGTAAAACTTCTATGATTTCTCTCTTTATATCCTTCTTTCATTTATCTTATACGGGTGATGAAATGAGTGCCTATTATATACTTGCTCTGAAAAATCTCAAAATTTAGATGGCGGAACAAATAAGAAAACAAATTATTATATTACAATGAGATATATTCTATATTAAGGTATGCTGTGAGACAGGTAGTAGTATACGATACTGCTAAACTTGGAAGAGAATTCTCTCACGAGAAGGTGAAATTTGAGCAGAATGCATTTGAGGACCAAGAGACTGGGGAGAGGACAAAGGCCAGGTCATAATATATCCTAATATGTCATGTTAGGGATTTGGGCTATGGAAAATCACTGAAAAAATTTTTGGAAGTGAATAACATGTTTAGATATGCATTTTAGAGTTCACTCTGAAGAATGGCATTGAAGGCTGAAAGAGCAATTAATGGGCTATTGAAAAATTGAGGTGATACTGAAACAGTAAAGTCAGGCAATAACTGAGGATGAAAAGACGTGGGACTGATTTCACAGATGCCTAAGAACAAAAAGATAGGAGGAAAGATTTATCATAAATATAACAAAAAGCAAATACGTTTCTCATAGAAAGGAAACTGTATATGAAAAACATTTTATTTTTGTTACATTTATGATAATCTTTCTTCATGTTTTGTTATTTTCTGAATATCGTTTTTTGTAAATAATAGTTTTAAATTTTGAAATAGTAAAATTTACTTATTTCTTTTTTTATAATTCCTCACATTCTTTTTTTTTAAAAGTTTATTTATTTATCTGGAGAGAGACAGCATAGAGCCCAATGCAGGGCTAAAGCTCACGAACTAGAAGATCATGACCTGCGCCAAAATCAAGAGTCGGATGCTTAGTTGACTGAGCCACTCAGTTGCCCCTGATTCCTCATATTATTAAATTTAGAATTGAATTTACAGATTAATTTGGGAAGAACTGCTATTCTTACAGTGTTGAGTCCATAAACAAAGTGTATCTATTTACTTAAGTATTCTTTTAATTTTTTTAGTTTTTCAAAAAAGTTATTTTTCAATAAAGTTTTATAATTTTCTTCACAAAATACTTTTGTGTTTTAAAACTTACATGTATACCATACATATAAATATATATTGTATATATATCCCAATCAGGTCAGATATTTAATTGCTATTGAAGAATGTATCTTTTAAAATGTCTATTTTCTAGGTTGACACCTTGATTTTGGACTTGTAGATTCCAAAGCTGTCAGTAAATAATTTTCTCTTATTTTAAGCCACTCTGTGGCAATTTTTGTTACAGCAGTCCTAAGAATAAACCAATAACAGGAGTGCCTGGGTGGCTCAGTAGGTTAAGTGCTTGACTCTTGACTTTGGCTTACGTCAGGATCTCATGGTTGTGAGACTGAGCCCCACGTTGGGCTCTGCACTGATAGTGTTGAGCCTGCTTGGGATACTCTCTCTGCTTCTCACTCTTGAGTGCTCTCGCTCTCAAAATAAGTAAACATTAAAAAAACTTAAAAAAGAATAAACAGATATTAATAAGATAACAGATATAAGAGTACAAGGCAAAGTATAGAAGGCTTGAAGATCACGAACAATCAATTTTACCTAATTAACATTTAGAGAACATCCTTCCAATAAGAGCAGAATACCTCATTTTTTTTTCAAGCATGCACAGAACATTTATCAAGATAGATCATAATCTGAGCCTTAAACCAACTCTCAATAATTTAAAATTATGAATTAATAATGGAAACATGTCTAAAAAGTCCCAATATTTGAAACATAACTGAAATTTTCATTGATTGAGATAGCCTTCTAATTCAGGAGTAGAGATTTGAATGTGACATTTTTTTTTAAACTGTATTTTCTAATTAGGTTATTCTTGTTCATTGCTATCGATTTTATGAATTTAGGATGCTTTGTTGAATACCTTTTATTAATTCTCATGATTTTTTTTCAGTAAATTTGTCTGGGTTTTCCAAGTGTATAAGAGCCTGCTTTTTTTTTTTTCAATATTCATACCAGTTATTTCTATTTCATTTGTCCAAAACTGCAGAACAATATTAAATATTAATAATAATTTACAGTGCTTTGTTTATGATTTTTACCAGAATGCTGATGTCATCAACTTCTCAAAGAGATTTGTGATCCTAAAAATTAAGAACCATTGTTTAGAATCATAAGTTCTTTTTTTTTTTTTTTAAAGTTTTTTAATGTTTATTATTTTTGAGAAAGAGAGAGGCAGGGCATGAGTGGGAGGGAGGGGCAGAGATAGAGGAAGACACAGAATCCAAAGCAGGTTCCAGGCTCTGAGCTGTCAGCACAGAGCCTGACACAGGGCTGGAACCCACAAACTGTGAGATCATGACCTGAGCTGAAGTCGGATGCTTAACCAACTGAGCCACCCAGGAGCCCCTAGAATCCTAAATTCTTAGCATTCATACAATCCTTAAGCTACAGATGATGATTCTTGAGATTACAAAGGTTAAGTGACTAGTGTTCCAAGGTCTTAGAGCTAGGCAGTGGAAGAACCATGACTAGAATTTCTTTCCATTTATGGTTTTGGTGTTACCAAACTTTACAACCCAAATTGTAATGTGTTTCCTCATCTCTGATCTTTTTTAATAGCAAATTATTGCAATTGCACTTTTTAAGTAACAAGCTTATTGAGATATAATTCACATACCAAACAATTTCACCCACTTAAATGATACAATTCAGTGGCTTTTTAACACATTGGCAGAGTTAGGCATCATCATCACAATTATTTTAGAATATTTTTATCACCCCAAAAGAAGCCTGGCAGCCCTTAGGGATAAGCTTCCAACTCTGCCACTCCTCTGCCCAGCCCTAACCTATTTTCTATCTCTATGAATGTATGTATCCTGGATAATTCATACAAATGGAATCATATGTGGTCCTTTATGACTGGCTTCTTTCATTCAGCATGTTTTCAAGGTTCATCTGTGTTGTAACATGTGTCAGTAATATTAAGAGTAATGTTCTGTTGCATGGTATATATTTACTTATTTGTTCATCAATTGATGAACATTTGGATTGTTTCCACTTTTTGGCTACTATGAATAATATCATTAGGAAGGCTCACATAACAAGTTTTTGTGTGGACATATATTTTCATCTCTCCTAAAAGTGCTGAATCATATGGTAACTCTATGTCTTTTTTTTTTTTTTTTTTTTTTTTTTTTTTTTAAAAGATGTTTATTTATTTTTGAGACAGAGAAAACACAAGCTGGAGAGGGGCAGAGGACCTGAAGCAGGCTTGGTGCGAACAGCCAAGAGTGTGGGGCTTGGACTTGGGAACCACAAGATCATGGCCTGAGCCAAAGTCTGACGCCTAACTGACTGAGCCACCCAAGCGCCCTGGCAACTCCATGTTTAATAGTTGAGAAATTCTGTGTTTAACGAGGTGTTTTCCAAACTGCTGCATCCCTTTAACCTTCCCACCATTAAGCAGTACAGGAAGGCTCAAATTACTCCACATCCTTGTCTCACTTATTATTCTTTATTCTTTTGATTATAGCCATCCTAGTGGGTGTGATGTGGTATTTTATTATGGTTTTAATTTTCACTTCCCTGATGGTTAATGATATTGAACATCTTCTCATGTGCTTATTGCCTATTTATTATTTTTCTTTGGAGAACCATCTATTTGTATCCTTTGCCCATTTTTTTTAACTTTGAGAATATTTAAATGCTTATTGACAGTTCAGGTTTCCTTTTTTGGTGAAATGACTTTCTGTCACTAGTCTCTTTTTCCATTGTATTGTATTGTTTCCCCTTTTCCTTATTAATCGTAATTCTTTAGGTAGGTATATATCTTTTCATATCTGTAGCTTCTATTTCTGCTATCTTTGTGGTCTTTTGATGAAAAGAGGATCTCAAATTTAATTATCAATATTTTCTGTCAGGATATATACTTTTGGAATCCTGTTTAAGAGATCTATCCCTCCTCTGTCCGAAAGGGAGGCAACATAGTGCTTTAGGATACAGCATTTTAAAATGGATTCAAGAGGCAGATTACCTAACTTCAGATCACAGCTCTTCTACTTAATGGCTTTGAAACAATTTAATTAACCTCTTTTGACTCAGTTTCTTCATTTATAAAATGAGATATTAATAGTACCTATTTCATTGGGTTGTTATGAGGAATAAATGAATTGGCATATTTGCATCTTTATTCTACCTAAATTGTTTTTAAAAAAAATTTTAGGGGCACCTGGATGGTTCAGTCAGTTAGGCATCTGACTTCGGCTCAGGTCATGATCTCACGGTTCGTGGGTTTGAGCCCCGCGTCAGGCTCTGTGTTGACAGCTCAGAGCCTGGAGCCCGTTTCAGATTGTGTCTCCCTCTCTCTCTAACCCTCCCCTGCTCACGTTCGTTCTCTCTCTTTCTCTCTCTCTCTCCCCCTCTCCTTTCCTCTCTCTCTCTCAGAAATAAATAAAACATTAAGATTTTTTTTAACATTTACTCATTTTTGAGAGACAGAGACACAGTGTGAGTGGGGGAAAGGCAGAGAGAGAGGGAGACATACAGATCTGAAGTAGGCTCCAGGCTCTGAGCTGTCAACACAGAGCCTGACGCAGGGCTCGAACACACGGACCACGAGATCATGACCTGAGCTAAAGTGGGATGCTTAACCGACTGACCCATCCAGGTGCCCCTACCTAAACTGTTATTTTTAATTAATTGGATTTTTGTTCCAAAGAGATAACCAATTATTAAAGCACCATTTATTGAATAATCCATCCTTTCTGTATTGCTTTATGTTTCAAGTTAGTCTATCCTGCAGCTCTCTATTCTATTCCATTGGCCTAACTGTCTATAGCTGTCTTTTAATAACCTTATTATGACCTTGGTATGTCTGGCTTTCTGGTAGAGTAAATCCTTTGGAATTTGTCTTCAAAATTATCTATTCTTAGACTTCTGATCTTAAATGTCGATTTTCAGATTAGTTTGTCAATTTCATAAAATCTCTTTGGGTATTTTTATTGAAATTGCATTGAATCTGTAGATTAATTTTGGTAGAGTCAACATCTTTGTGGTGCCTCTGCCACTAGCAAGGAGGGCAGAAATTAAAGGTCTCCAAAAGCATATCTTCTCATGTAATTCACTTTCAGATAGGATTCTTGCAAGTATACGCCTAGCTGACCAAACCCAAGTCAAATGATGATGCCTTAACTCTAAGAGCTGAAAATATGAGTTCTGCCTTCCACTTGTAAGATGGCAACTGAAAAGATGGACAGCCACATGAATATGATGAAGGCACACTGTATGTTTAGTCTACTACATCATTTCCAAATAGGTACGGCTTTTTTCTCCTTTTTGAAAGCCTATAAATTTTGCTTATTTTTCTTCTCTAGCTGCTTTTGTAGGAAGCTAGAAAAATACTGAATAGAAACAGTGATAATGAACATCCTTGTTTTATTCTGATTTTAAAGTAAATGCTTATGTTTCATCATTGGGCAAAATATTATGGATTTTTGCTACTTTTTTTCCAGTTGGAGAAGTATTTATAACTTAAAAGCAGGCATTTAAATTATTATTATCTTTTTTAATGTTTGTGTTTGAGAGAGACAGAGTGCATGTGAGTAGGGGAGGGGCAGAGAGAGAGAGAGGGAGACACAGAATCTGAAGTAGGCTCCAGGCTCTGAGCTGTCAGCACAGAGCTGGACATGGGGCTTGACCCCTCAGACTGTGAGATCATGACCTGAGCCAAAGTTGGACACTTTGGCTGAACCAACCAGGTACCCCTTATTATTTATTTATTTATTTATTATTATTTTTTTTTAATTTTAGTGAGAGAGAGTACACAAGCAGGGGTGAGAGGTAGAGGGAGAGAGAGAGAGAGAGAATCCAATCTACTGAGTGCGGAGCCTGATGCAGGGCTCTATCCCACGATTCTGGGATCGTGACCTGATGGTCAACCCACTGAGCCACCTAGGTGCTCTAAACAAGCATTAAAAAAAAAAAAAAAAAATCAATCATTGATTAAAATCTCTTATTTTAGAAGCATAAAGGAAAAAAATATTCACAAAAGATTTTTACCTGCAGATTTAATTGGAGAAGATTTATATGGAGCGTAAATACCTGTAATAAGTATAAAATAGAATTATGAGCTTTGGAGTATAAAATTGTGGTTATGATTCATCCTTAAAATAATTAGGAAATGGATGTCATGTGTTTTAGAATGTTAATAAATAATCTTAAAAGATCTAGTGCAGTAAATAAAATAGAAAATATGGGCCAATATGTGGGTTAGATATTTAAATCTTTTTCCTCCCTAGAGTTTTAAAGCAACATAATGTAATATCTTTGAGGTTAAGAAACTTTCCGTAAAAAGAAAAAAAAGAAACTTTTTGTGTATGAATTCTCTGGGCATCCCTTGACCTCCAATGCTCTGATGTTGAGAACTATGTACCAGGAATTAGCACTGCTTTTACTGGGTTTTAAAAGCCAATACTCAATAGCACCATCTACTGTTGACACAATGGAATTTAATAATAGTGGAAAGAATAATAGATTCTCAGATCTTCACATTGAGAATACAAGGAATCTTCTAGTCTCGACTTTCTAAGCTTACAGTTAAGAATGTGAGGTTCAGGAAAGATAAGTGACTTGTTAATAGCCACAGATTTCTTGCTAAAACTATGTATATTGTCGCAAATGAAAATTTTTGTAGGTGCTTTCAAAGCCAAGGAAACATGTGGAAAAGCAATTTATCCTAGTGATCAAGTCTCTAGGTGAAACTGTGCTGGTCCCGTTCTTTACTCCATTGCTGATTATTTGGACAAATTGATTAACTGTTCTGTGCCTCAGTTTCTACATCTAAAAATTGGCGATGCAAGTACTTCTAAGGGTTTGTGTGATAAGTAGAAGTAGTAGAGAACATAAAGCATCATGCCTGGTAGATAGTGACCAGTAATGGTGATACTATTTCTATTCACAAGTGGTAGAACTGGTTTTTAACCCAGGCATCTCTGACTTTGCTGTCTGTGTTCTTTAAATTTGACTTTACCAGCCATCAGAAAAGATCAGAAATACCATACATACAAAATAAAACAATCAATGAATGTTTGATAACACAGTATACCAAAATATAAGCCCATTGGCTTAGGAGAAGTTCTATGTCATTCTTTGATTTGGGGGAGAGAGGAAGATGGTTCTCATATTTAAACTGGAAAACAGGTCCTCATTTGTGTTATTGTTAACATTTTGTCTAGCAAGTTTCCTCTCTTTTAGTGATACACCCTCCTCTTGACTTTGAGGTTGGACACATGGCCAAAGCCTAGCCAATCGTAGCACCTCATTTTTCCTGGACACAGTGAATAGTCCAGAAGACATGAGATTCAAAAAGGGCCAGTGTCCAGAGTAATCAGAGAAATGAAAGACGTGTGTTATATTGGACCCCATACAATACATTCAGTTACATACAAATACATTCTGCAGGTATCTCATTAATAATCAATAATGTAGTGTAGTGGACACCTTGACTTTCATCCTGTATTCCCTCTCCTCCTCTTCATTTAGCAACAGAAGCCTATATTTTGCAGTCTCTGTTGGAGATACATGAGATTGTGAGACTCATTGAAGCCAGTAGTATGTGAGTGAAATTGTTGAATGCCATTAATACAATTGATCTTAAACAATTAATCATGTGTTTTTCCATTCTCTTTTGTCCATTCCTGCAGCCTGGAAAGCAAGTGTGTCAGTGACTCAGCTTTAACCTTTAGATGAGGACATCTTAAAAGATGAACACCTTAGAAGATCAGGATAGATTAAGAAAGAAATAGATTTTTACAGTGAATTACTCACCCACTGTGTGGATGTAGTGATAGATTGTAAAGTCAGTGCATAAGAAAAAAGTCTATTTAGGTTGAGCCATAAAAAGGAATGAAGTACTGATAATATGCTATAACATAGACAAACCTTGAAGACATTATGCTAAGTGAAGGAAGTCAAACACAAAAAAAATCACATCTTGTATGATTCCATTTATATGTAATGTTCAGAATAGGTAAATCTTATAGAGACAGAAAGTAGATTAGTGATTGTCAGGGGCTAGATAAGATATAGGCGTAGACGGTGTCTACTAATGTGTACCAAGCTTCTTTTTAGGGTGATAGAAATGTCCTGGAATTAGATAGTAGTAACAGTTGTGCCACTTTGAATATACTAAAAGCCACTGAAATGTACACTTTAAAGGGGTGAATTTCATGGAATGTGAATATCTCAAAATACTCATTTAGGCTAAAATACTCTTGAAAGTCCTTCTCAGAGATGCCTGGGTGGCTCAGTTGCTTAAGTGTCTGACTTGTGGTTTCAGCTCAGGTCATGATCTCCAGGTTCATGGGCTCAAGCCCTGTGTTGGGCTCTGAGCTGCTGTTGCAGAGCCTGCTTGGCTTGGGATTCTCTCTCTCTGTCCCTCCTCTACTCATTCTCTTTCTCTCTCAAAATAAATAAATAAACTTTAAAAATGTTAAAAAAAATAAGAGTCCTTAGAGAGGCTAATACAACTTGTTTCAATTTTAGTGTAAACAATACATTGCATTTTTAGTTTTTACTTTGAGTACTGAATAAAGTATTATGCTTGCATTGAGGAGCCCTGTTGCCAAGAAAATGTATACCTTGAGTCATACTCACTTGTATGGGATTCTCACATAAGGGATTGAGATCCAAGGTATTCAGAAGGGGACCTGTACTCCTGGGGATACAAGAAGATGTATCAGGCACAGTTTTAAGGAAATGAATTTCCAGATCTTCAACTTGCATGTTACCTTTTCTAAATTGATTTGTGGCTAAGCTGTCATGTCATTATGTCCTGTTGTCTTTTCCTACCTCCCATCAATTTACAGGAGAAAGGCATACCTCTTGCCTAGCAAAAAACATTACCAGGGTGTCAACCAAATCGACAGTTTGAGATACTGGTGTTGGGGAAGCCTCCTTTAAATCAATGCACCATAAACCATGATAGAGCATTGTAGTTTTCCTTGCCTTATATTTTTGGCATATAATTCAGAAGGAATTCAAACAACTGAGTGACACTATAGTAAAACCCCTTTCATTCACCTCTACGTATGTAACGGAACAATCTCTAAAAAGGCAAGCTAAGAACGGAAGCCAGACTAGGACTGCATTTGGTAAGGAATTACTGGCTTCCCGCAATTCCATCACTATGAAGAAAACATCCTAGCATACTGAAAAAAGAACGTGGCGGCGAAGACTCAGATGTTTACAAGCATACCCTTTGCCTGAGACCTATAAACATACAGTAATCCCAGTTTTCCCTTACACGTGTGTTAATTCCAGCACCCACAAGAGCACCCATTTCTGCTCACTGGTTGAGTCCACGTTAGTGATAGTCCGTTTCTAAAAGCCTGGTTGTATTTAAACGATACAAGGTTTGCTCAGACCGGCGCCACGGGAAACAGGCACACACCGCGCGGGCAGCACACTCTTCCGTGAGCAGGTGTCCCTGGCTGCTCTACGGGGAGCGTGGGAAGCAGGGTGAACAGCCACATTATTTGCCTACTGTTTCTAGGGAAAGCCTTTGGGGCTCCAAACAGGCCCGGCCCGCGTGGAAGGCGAGGGAGCTCCCGCACCACTGTGACAGCACGGATCTCGAACGCAGACTCACAGGGTCAGCCCTTGCACTTCGCACGGCTTTGCCACAGGCCTGGTGGGACCCAAGCCTACAGTAGCGCGTCTCCTGCGTGGCTCTGCCCACCGCGCTTGGAGCCCCGCCTCATTCCGTAGGGGCCCACCCATCGCACCACTTCCGGCGCCAGCTTCCCAACCGGCCTCCGTCGCTCTTCACTTCCCTCTCCTCTGTTCTTTTCCCCCGCCCCCTCGCCTCCTTTAATAACGTCACGTGAGGGGCGGGCGCGGGGCCTGCTGGGACGGGTCCTGCCGGTGGGTCAGGGTTCGGCCTCAACATGGCGGTTCCGGTCGAGCAGTGACCAAGGTTTTGCCGTCGGGAGGACTAACTGGCGATTGTCGGCGTCTCCACCTATCAGGGTGGAATGCGAGGACGCCGGGACGAGCCCTGAGGAGCGGCGGTGCCGGGGAGGGGCCCGTGGTGTGTGCCTGGGAGCCGAGGCAGCGGCGTCTCTTCCTTCTGTTGGACTCAAGGCTTCAGTGTGGGGCCCCGCCCGGCCGGGTTAGGCCGGCGGGCGGCGGCAGTAGCTGCTGCAGCCGCAGGATCAGTCTCTGAGAGCGGGCCGGAGGGCGGGCGCCGCCGCCTCTCGTGCCGCGGCGATGGCCCAGTGTGTACAATCAGTGCAGGAGCTAATCCCGGACTCCTTCGTCCCTTGTGTCGCCGCGCTGTGCAGCGACGAAGCCGAGCGACTCACTCGTCTCAATCACCTTAGCTTCGCGGAGTTGCTTAAGCCCTTCTCTCGCCTCACTTCGGAGGGTATGTGGTCTCCTCCCTATTTCACTGCGCTCCCTCAAAGCCTGGCCGGGAGAAGGAAGTTGTGGACGGGCAGGGAAGAAAAGGGCGATGTTTACATGTGGAGCCGGTAGTGTGGCGTTTGGAGCTGTGGGGCCCCGGAGTTGTCTCCGGTGGTGGCTGGGGGAGGGGCCAAGAGAGGCTGTCAAGACAACGCGGTCCTAACCTATAGTTTTTCTAGGCACTTTCCTTCTTCCCCGGACAGGCCTGGGCTGCTGGGTAATTAGTGTGGAGAAAAAAAAAAAAAAAAAAAAACATGAGCCCCAGAGGACTGTTTTCAACGGCCATAGTAGGGAATTAGGAAGTTGCATGGCAGATATGGGTAGGAAACTGCTGCCTTAGACCGATGAGGTCTTAGTAAAGAAGACGAATCATCTTCTCCTGGATGTTAAACTGGACTTCCAAAGTTGTTTTGAGTAATATTCTTCTGGTAGTGGGGCCTGGCGCTCTCCCTGTCTCTCTCTTTCTTTTAAGTTTATTTATTTTGAGAAAGAGAGCGGGGGGGGGGGGGATGGAGAGAGAGAGAAAGAGAAAATCCCAAGGAGGCTATGCACTGTCAGCACAGAGTCTGCTGCTGGGCTCGATCCCATGAACCTGAGCCGAAATCTACAGTTGGATGCCCAACGGAGTGAGCCACCCAGGTGTCCTGGGGCCTATCTCTTTTAAAACTTCTATTTAGTTTTTTTTTTTTTTTTTGAAAATGTCAGCATTTTTTTAGGCATATAGTATTTTATTTAGCCTCTTATGAAAATTATAAAAATAATAAAACTTCTAATAGCCTTTTGCCTGATGGATGAGGAAGTAAGGACAAGTTGTAATTAATCTAGATAGTTGGAATTAAATAGACTTGTACGAATGGAAAAGTCCTAAGATTTTGTTTTTTCAGATAAAAGTTTTATCAGCAGGAGAAACGTATCTTTTATTGAAGAGCTGCCTGTTTTCATCACCTTTACATTCTTTATTAGTGAAAAATAAGCATAACAAAACTCCCGAGTATTTAACCAATATATTTACCTTTGTAAATAGAACATAGCAAAGTATAAATAAAGTTCTTTCTTACTAAGTCCAAATAAAATGAAGGGGTCTGTGACAGGTTGTGTCAAGTGAATCACAGTGATGTTTATTTGGTTATGATGATTTCCTCACAAAAAGTGCTGTGCCATAAATGTATGTATTTACATGCCACAGGTGTGTATTCTTTGAGAGACTAGCTCCATAAGTTCACTGTATTATTTAAAGGAGAGTGGGAGCTGTCCAAATAAACAAAGCTTGGGAACCTTTGGATTTTTCTTCAGCTTGTACCTTAGCCATCAGTCTCAGCTCCTCCAGTGTTCTACTAAATTAAGAACAACAAAGTGCTCTACATTCTTTTTTTTAAATAATGTTTATTTAATTTGAAAGAGAGCGAGAGTAGGGGAGGGGCAGAGAGGAAGAGAGAGAGAGAGAGAGAGAATATATCCCAAGCAGGCTTCATGTTGTCAGTGCAGAGCCCTATTCGGGGCTTGAACTCAGGAACCAAACTGTGATCATGACCTGAGTGGAAATTCAATGTCAGACGTGTAACTGACTGAGCCACCCAGGTGCCTCTAAAGTGCCCTACATTCTTAAGTTCTTAAAAAAAAAGTAAGAATCAGTTTGACTTTGATGTGTATGCCCTTTTCTGCTTGGTTGATGAGGAATAATAATGCTACTACCTGATGGCTGCTTTATTTAGCTCTTCTCTTGTATTTCTTGTTGAATCCTGTGGAGTAGATAACTGTTCTCACTATTTTAAATTTGAGAACATTGAGACATAAAGATGTTAACTTGTCCACAGGCTTACATGTGGGAAAGATTTAAAAACAAGCAATGTGACTCAAGGTGTTCTTAAGTCATCTTATCTCCTGGCAGTAGGATTGTTCTTCACACTAGAGAGCAGTGCTGTCCAGAGGAAATATAATGTCAGTTACATATGTAATTTTAAATTATTTAGATGTCACACTATAAAAAAAAAGCAAGTGAAATTAGTTTTAGTATTGTATTTAACCCAGTATTTCCAAAATGTTACTATTTCAACATGTAATCAGTATAAAACATTTTAGTATTTTATATTTTCTTATGGTTAAGTCTTTGAACTTAGGTATGCATTTAGACATTTATAAGATTTACATTTTAGTTTGGACTGGACATGTCAGGTGCCCAACCCAATAGCCACATCTGGCTGGTGCTTCCTGTATTGAGCAGTGCAGTGAATAGGGGCTCACCTCAGGATCTTTGTGATTTCCTTCTGTAAACTGCAAAAGATTTAGGAAAAAATAAAGTGAATTGGACTTTCATGGTTAGGTAGAGAGTTGGTGGCAAGGAAGAGTGCCAGCATTCCTTGTTGAGGATGGGGATGAAGTGAGAATGGCAAAAGCTAGAAGTTAAGATTGAGTGGTTCTGGAGAGTGAGGAAACTGTCCCTATCAGTACAGTATAGTAAAGGAAGATGCCTAGATAAGGAAGGATCTTGAATTCTAGGAATGGGATTTTGGATTTCATATCTAATGGTAAATGTGTGGCAGTCAGAGATTCTTGAGCAAGGGTATCAAATTGGGGAGATTAGAATTGTATGGTTTATAATGATAAATAGCTGGTAAATATTTCAAAGTTTAAGTTGATTAGGACATGGACTTTGGTGGTGGCATTAGAAATTTGGTGAAAAGGACTTAATTTTTCTGTAGTTTAATTTTATGCTGATAAATAAATTTTGGGGTTCTTAGCCATCCAAAAAAGGCTACCTTCTTTCGTCTTAAGAGTGAATTCCTTGGGGCGCCTGGGTGGCTTAGTCGGTTAAACGTCCGACTTTCGCTTAGGTCATGATCTCGCGGTTCGTGGGTTTGAGCCCCGCGTCGGGCTCTGTGCTGACTGCCAGCTCAGAGCCTGGAGCCTGTTTCAGTCTGTGACTCCCTCTCTCTCTGACCCTCCCCTGCTCACGCTGTCTCTCTCTCTCCTAGAAATAAATAAAACATTAAAAAAAAAAAAAGAGTGAGTTCCTTGAAATAGCATATCTTTAGGCAATGAGGCATGAGAATATAACTTCAGGCATATATTTAAAAACACAACTAATTAAAACAGCTAAAATTTCCTTAGAAGGAGAAAGGAATGTTTAAAAAATGATTGGACTCCATTCTGGCATGTGGATGTGTTATTATTTGAGGTCAAAACTTGCTTTGACTATTGAGATATCAGTGTACAGTGCTGAGTATTTCCAGGACATTTTTTTTTTTTTTAAGATTTCAGTAGGAAAAACCCATGGTTTCAAGCTATAGTGAGGGAGGGTTGATGAAACAAATTTGAATACCATGCATGTGTAGGACCTTAAAAATAGACTTTAGCCTCGATGTATTAGGTAGTGGAGAGCCATTCTACATTTCTTGGATACATTTTTTTTTAATACAACAAGTATTTCTTTATATTAAGTAATGGTGAGTATATATATTCTTATCATTATGCTAGATATATGTTTGAGACTTAATATATATATATTCATCATTTCAACACAAAGTTTGTAATTTTAATATTGCTTGAGACATTTCCAGTGGCCACTATTTCAAAGAATAGTGGTGATAGTATTACTTCTTCAAACTTCACTGTTTTTGCTGTCACAGTGATAGTTCTTCAGTAATTTTAAACATTGTTTCAATACATCATTTAGACATTTATAAGACTTAGGAAAATTTCACTTAAACAGCAACTTTTGAAAGTACTTCACTGTCACTTTCGAAAAGTATTTTTAAATGGAGTAAATTTATTTTAGGGTTTAAAAAGAACAGAATGTAATTTTTATGTAAATTTTGGATATTTTCTGAAGGACCTCTGAAGGAAACTTACTGCCTCTAGTTTCCTTTAAAAGGAAATATTTCATCAATTTTAACTACCATGTTAGTGTGACTAAGTAATTAATTAACCTACAGATTTTTCAAGTACCAAACTTGGAATAAATTCAGGTCATGTTTCAAAATTTAGATATGTATGTTATTTGTGTCATTTTTGTACAAGTTATTATTTTCCAGCAACTCAGGTTTTCTATATATAGTAAAGTTTCATGTGCTATATAAAAACATAAAAGATACTATTATCATTTTTAAAAATATATTGCATAGAACACTCAATGTGTTACACATTACTTGAAAATGATTTTTGTGCTCAAATAAGTTTGCTTCAAATAGCATGTGTTTGGGAGAATTATAGTTTAATTTAGCACATTAAAGGCTCTGGGAGGACCTGGTATAAAGAGACCTTTTAAAAATTTGATCATGTGTTTCTCAAATTTATTTGAACATGGAGTTGATTTTTCTAAACAACTCTTAACTAGCTTGAGGAAACAGTAGTCCATGGTACTGCAAATAGTGGGAAATGTTACCTCATAATGCAGTATTCAAGAAATTATATTTATGAGGCCACCTGGCTGGCTCAGTTGGAAAAGCATGCAACTCTTCATCTCTGGGTCATGAGTTTGAG